AGTTGAACCTTCTAGTACAACTTTCAAGTTCAACCTTCAAGTTCACCTCCAAGTTCAACCTTCGAGTTCAACCTTCAAGTTCAACCTTCAAATTTAATCCTCAAGTTCAACCTTCAAAATCAAACTCCAAGTTCAACCTCCAAGTTCAACCTTCAAGTTCAACTTTAAGTTCAAACTTCAAGTTCAACCTTCAAGATCATCCTTCCAGTTCAAACTTCGAGTTGAACCTTCAAGTTCAACCTTCCAGTTCAACTTCAAGTTCAAACTTCAAGTTCAACCTTCAAGATCATCCTTCTAGTTCAAACTTCGAGTTAAACCTTCAAGTTCAAACTTCAAGTTCAACCTTCAAGTTCAACCTTCAAGTTCAAACTTCAAGTTCAACCTTCAATTTCAAACTCCGAGTTGAACCTTCAAGTTCAACCCCACCTTCGAACTCCAATTTCAACCTTCAAGTTGAACCTTTAAGTACAACCTTCAAGTTCAACCTCCAAGTTTAACTTCAAGTTCAACCTACAAGTTCAACCTTCAAGTTCGACCTTCAAGTTGAACCTTCAAGTATTACTTCAGGTTCAAACTTCAAGTTCAACCTTCAAGTTCAACCTCCAAGTTCGAACTTCAAGTTCAACCTTCAAGTTCAATTTTCAAGTTGAACCTTCAAGTAGAACCTTCAAGTTCAACCTTCAAGTTCAACCTTCAAGTTCAACCTCCGAGTTCAACCTTCGAGTTCAACCTTCAAGTTCAACCTCCAAGTTTAACCTCCAAGTTCAACCTTCCAGTTCAACTTCAAGTTCAAACGTCAAGTTCAACCTTCAAGATCATCCTTCCAGTTCAAACTCCGAGTTGAACCTTCGAATTCAACCCCCACGTTCGAACTCCAATTTCAACCTTCAAGTTGAACCTTCAAGTACAACCTTCAAGTTCAACCTCCAAGTATAACTTCAAGTTCAACCTACAAGTAAAACCTTCAAGTTGAACCTTCAAGTTGAACCTTCAAGTTCAACCTTCAAGTTCAACCTTCAAGTTCAACCTCCAAGTTCAACTTCAAGTTCAACCTTCAAGTTCAACCTCCAAGTTCAACTTCAAGTTCGAACTTCAAGTTCAATCTTCAAGATCTTCTTTCAAGTTCAAACTTCGAGTTGAACCTTCAAGTTCAACCTTCCAATTCAAACTCCAAGTTCAACCTCCAAGTTCAAACTTCAAGTTCAACCTTCAAGTTCAATTATCAAGTTGAACCTTCAAGTTCAACCTCCAAGTTCAACATTCAAGTTGAACCTTCGAGTTCAACCTTCAAGTTCAAACTCCAAGTTCAACCTTCAAGCTCAAACTTCGAGTTGAACCTTCAAGTTCATCCTCCAAGTCAAACCCCAAGTACAACCTTCAAGTTCAACATTCAAGTTCAACTCCAAGTTCAAACTTCAAGTTCAACCTCCAAGTTCGACCTTCAAGTTCAAACTTCGAGTTCAACCTCCAAGTTCGAACTTTAAGTAGAACCTCCAAGTTGATCCTTCAAGCTCAAACTTCAAGTTCAACCTTCAAGCTCAAACTCCAAGTTCATCCTTCAAGTTCAACCTTCAAGTTTTTACTACAAATTGAACCTTCAAGTTCAAACTTCAAGTTCAACCTTCAATTTCAAACTTCGAGATCAACCTTCAAGTTCAACCTTCAAGTTCAAACTTCAAGTTCAACCTTCAAGTTCAACCTTCAAGTTCAACATTCTAATTCAACCTTCAAGTTTAAATTCAGTTTCAACATTCAAATTCAAACTTCGAGTTCAACCTTCAAGTTCAACCTTCGAGTTCAAACTTCAAATTGAACCTTCAAGCTCAAACTGCAAGTTCAACCTTCAAGTCAAACCCCCAAGTACAACATTCAAGTTCAACCTTCAAGTTCGACCTTCAAGTTCAAACTCCGAGTTCAACCTCCAAGTTCGAACTTCAAGTAGAACCTTCGAGCTCAAACTCCAAATTTAACCTTCAAGCTCAAACTCCAATTTCAACCTTCAAGTTCAACCTTCAAGTTTTTACTTCAAATTGAACCTTCAAGTTCAACCTTCAAGTTCAACCTTGAAGTTCAACCTTCAAGTTCAACCTTCAAGTTCAAACTTCAAGTTCAAACTTCAAGTTCAACCTTCAAGTTCAAACTCCGAGATCAACCTTCAAGTTCAACCTCGAAGTTCAAACTTCCAGTTCAACCTTCAAGTTCAACCTTCTAGTTCAACCTTCAAGTTTAACTTCAATTTCAACATCGAAATTCAATCTTCGAGTTCAACCTTCAAGTTCAACCTTCGAGTTCAAACTTCAAATTGAACCTTTAAGTTCAGAATTCACGTTCAAACTTCAAGTTCAACTTTCAAGTTGAACCTTCAAGTAAAACCTTCAAGTTGAACCCCAAAGTACAACCTCCAAGCTCAACCTTCAAGTTCAACCTTCATGTTTAACTGCGAGTTCAAACTTCAAGTTCAACATTCAACTTCAACCTTCAAGTGGAACTTTCAAGGTGAACCTTCAAGTTGGACCTTCAAGTTGAACCTTCAAGTTGAACCTTCAAGTTCAACCTTCAAGTTGAACCTTCAAGTTCAACCTTCAAGTTCAACCTTCAAGTTCAACCTTCAAGTTCAACCTTCAAGTTCAACCTTCAAGTTCAACCTTCGAGTTCAACTTCAAGTTCAAACTTCAAACTCAATCTTCAAGAACTTCTTCCAAGTTCAAACTTAATCTTCAAGAACTTCTTTCAAGTTCAAACTTCGAGTTGAACCTTCAAGTTCAACCTTCAAGTTCAAACTTCAACTTCAACCATCAAGCTCAAACTCGTAGTTGAACCTTCAAAATTCAACCTCCAAGTCAAACCCCCAAGTACAACCTTCAAGTTTAACCTTCAAGTTCAACTCCAAGTACAAACTTCAAGTTCAACCTTCGAGTTCAACCTCCAAGTTCGAACTCCAAGTAGAACCTTCCATTTGAACCTTCAACCTCAAACTCCAAGTTGAACCTTCAAGCTCAAACTCCAAGTTCAACTTTCAAGTTCAACCTTCAAGTTTTTACTTCAAATTGAACCTTTTAAGTTCAACCTTCAAGTTCAACCTTCAAGTTCAAACTCCAAGTTCAACCTTCAAGTTTAACATCCAAGTTCAAACTCCGAGATCAACCTTCATGTTCAACCTTCAAGTTCAAATTCCAAGATCAGCCTGCACGTTCAACCTCCTAGTTCAACCTTCAAGTTTAACTTCAATTTCATCATTCAAAATCATACTTCGAGTTCAACCTTCAAGTTCAACCTTCAAGTTCAACCTTCGAATTCAAACTTCAAATTGAACCTTCAAGTTCAGAATTCACGTTCAAATTTCAAGTTCAACTTTCGAGTTGAACCTTCAAGTACATCCTTCAAGTTCAACCTTCAAGTTCAAACTTCAAGTTCAACCTTCAAGTAGAACCTTCAAGTTGAACCTTCAAGTACAACCTCCAAGCTCAACCTTCAAGTTCAACCTTCATGTTTAACTGCGAGTTCAAACTTCAAGTTCAACCTTTAAGTTCAACCTTCGAGTTCAAACTTCAAGTTCAAACTTCAAGTTGAAACTTCAAGTTCAACCTTCAAGTTCAGCTTCAAGTTCAAACTTCAAGTTCAAACTTCAAGTTCAAACTTCAAGTCAAATCTTCAAGTTCAACCTTCAAGTTAAACCTTCGAGTACAACTTTCGAGTACAACCTTCAAGTTCAACCTCCAAGTCCAACTTCAAGTTCAAACTTCAAGTTCAACCTACAAGTTCAACCTTCGAGTTCAACCTTCAAGTTCAAACTTCAAGTTCAAACTTCAAGTTAAAACTTCAAGGTCTACCTTCAAGTTCAATCTTCAAGTTCAAACTCCAAGTTCTACCTTCAAGTTCAAACTTCAAGTCAAATCTTCAAGTTCAACCTTCAAGTTGAACCTCCAAGTACAACCTTCAAGTTCAACCTCCAAGTTCAACTTCGAGTTCTACTTCAAGTTCAAACTTCAAGTTCAACCATCAAGTTCAAACTTCAAGTTCAACCTTCAAGTTCAACCTTTAAGTTCAACCTTCGAGATCAAACTTCAAGTTGAAACTCCAAGTTGAACCTTTGAGTGCAACCTCACGTTCAAACTCCAAGTTGAAATTTCAGGTACAACCTTCAAGTACAACCTCCAAGTTCAACCATCAAGTTTATTGTCAAGTTCAAACTTCAAGTTCAACCTTCAAGTTAAACCTTCAAGTTGAACCTTCAAGTATTACTTTAGGTTCAAACTTCAAGTTCAACCTTCAAATTCAACCTCCAAGTTCAAACTTCAAGTTCAACCTTCAAGTTCAATTTTCAAGTTGAACCTTCAAGTACAACCTTCAAGTTCAACCTTCAAGTTCAACCTCCAAGTTCAACCTTCGAGTTCAACCTTCAAGTTCAACCTTCAAGTTTAACCTCCAAGTTCAACCTTCAAAATTAAACTCCAAGTTCAACCTCCAAGTTCAACCTTCAAGTTCAACTTCAAGTTCAAACTTCAAGTTCAACCTTCAAGATCATCCTTCAAGTTCAAACTTCGAATTGAACCTTCAAGTTCAACCTTCAAGTTTAAACTTCAAGTTCAAGCTTCAAGTTCAACCTTCAAGTTCGAACTTCAAGTTCAACCTTCAAGTTCAAACTTCGAGTTGAACCTTCAAGTTCAACCCCCACGTTCGAACTCCAATTCCAACCTTCAAATTGAACCTTTGAGTACAACCTCCAAGTTCAACCTTCAAGTTTAACCTCATGTTCAACCTACAAGTGGAACCTTGAAGTTGAACCTTCAAGTTGAACCTTCAAGTTCAACCTTCAAGTTCAAACTTCGACTTCAATCTTCAAAATCTTCTTTCAAGTTCAAACTTCGAGTTGAACCTTCAAGTTCAACCTTCAGGTTCAAACTCCAAGTTCAACCTCCAAGTTCAAACTTCAAGTTCAACCTTCAAGTTCAATTTTCAAGTTGAACCTTCAAGTACAACCTTCAAGTTCAACCTTCAAGTTCAACCTCCAAGTTCAACCTTCAAGTTGAACCTTCAAGTTCAACCTTCAAGTTCAACCTCCAAGTTCAACGTCCAAGTTCAACCTTCAAGTTCAACTTCAAGTTCAAACTTCAAGTTCAATCTTCAAGATCTTCTTTCAAGTTCAAACTACGAGTTGAACCTTCAAGTTCAACCTTCAAGTTCAAACTCCAAGTTCAACCTTCAAGCTCAAACTTCGGGTTGAACCTTCAAGTTCAACCTTCAAGTCAAACCCCCGAGTACAACCTTCAAGTTCAACCTCCAAGTTCAACCTCCAAGTTCGACCTTCAAGTTCAAACTTCGAGTTCAACCTCCAAGTTCGAACTTCAAGTAGAACCTTCAAGTTGAACCTTCAAGCTCAAACTCCAAGTTTAACCTTCAAGCTCAAACTCCAAGTTCATCCTTCAAGTTCAACCTTCAAGTTTTTACTACAAATTGAACCTTCAATTTCAAACTTCGAGATCAACCTTCAAGTTCAACCTTCACGTTCAAACTTCAAGTTCAACCTTCCAGTTCAACATTCTAATTCAACCTTCAAGTTTAACTTCAGTTTCAACATTCAAATTCAAACTTCGAGTTCAACCTTCAAGTTCAACCTTCGAGTTCAAACTTCAAATTGAACCTTTGAGTTCAAAATTCACGTTCAAACTTCAAGTTCAACTTTCAAGATGAACCTTCAAGTACAACCTCCAGGTTGAACCTCCAAGTACAACCTCCAAGCTCAACCTTCAAGTTCATCCTTCATGTTTAACTGCGAGTTCAAACTTCAAGTTCAACCTTCGAGATCAAACTTCAAGTTCAAACTTCAAGTTGAAACTTCAAGTTCAACCTTCAAGTTCAACCTTCAAGTTCAAACTTCAAGTTCAAACTTCAAGTTCAAACTTCAAGTCAAATCTTCAAGTTCAACCTCCAAGTTGAACCTTCAAGTACAGCCTTCAAGTTCAACCTTCAAGTCCAATTTCAAGTTCAAACTTCAAGTTCAACCTACAAGTTCAACCTTCAAGTTCAAACTCCAATTTCAACCTTCAAGTTCATTTTTCAAGTTCAACCTGCAAGTTCAACCTTCAAGTACAACCTCACGTTCAAACTTCAAGTTGAATCTTCAAGTACAAACTTCAAGTTCAACCTTCAGGTTTATTTTCGAGTTCAAACTTCATGTTCAACCTTCAAGTTCAACCTTCAAGTTGAACCTTCAAGTATAATTTCAGGTTCAAACTTCAAGTTCAACCTTCAAGTTCAACCTCCAAGTTCCAACTCCAAGTTCAACTTCCAATTTCAATTTTCAAGTTGAACCTTCAAGTACAACCTTCAAGTTCAACCTGCAAGTTCAACCTCCAAGTTCAACCTTCGGGTTCAACCTTCAAGTTCAACCTTCAAGTTTAAACCTCCAAGTTTGAACTCCAAGTTCAACCTTCATGTTGAACCTTCAAGTTGAACCATCAAGTCAAACCTTCAAGTTAAAAATCCAAGTTCAACCTTCAAGTTTAACTTTTAGTTCAAACTTCAAGTTCAACCTCAAAGATCACCCTTCAAGTTCAAACTTCGAGTTGAACCATCATGTTCAACCTTCAAGTTCAACATTCAAGTTCAAACTTCAAGTTCAAACTTCGAGTTGAAACTTCTAGTTCAACCTTCAAGTTCAACCTATGAGTTCAAACTTTCAGTTCTACCTTCAAGTTCAAACTTCAAGTCAAATCTTCATGTCCAACCTCCAAGATGAACCTTCAAGTACAACCTTCAAGTTAAACCTCCGAGTTCAACTTGTTCAAGTTCAACTTCGAGTTCAAGCTTCAAGTTCAAACTCCGAGTTCAACCTTCAAGCTCAAACTTCAAGTTGAACCTTCAAGTTCAACCTCCAAGTTCAAACTTCAAGTTCATTCTTCAAGTTCAATTTTCAAGTCGAACCTTCAAGTACAACCTTCAAGTTCAACCTTCAAGTTCAACCTCCAAGTTCAACCTTCGAGTTCAAACTTGAAGTTCAACCTCCAAGTTCGACCTTCAAGTTCAAACTTCGAGTTCAACCTCCAAGTTCGAACTTCAAGTAGAACCTTCAAGTTGAACCTCCAAGCTCAAACCCCAAGTTCATCCTTCAAGTTCAACCTTCTAGTTTTTACTACAAATTGAATCTTCAAGTTCAAACTCCAAGTTCAACCTTCAATTTAAAACTTCGAGATCAACCTTCAAGTTCAACCTTCAAGTTCAAACTTCAAGTTCAACCTTCAAGTTCAACATTCTAATTCAACCTTCGAGTTCAACTTCAGTTTCAACATTCAAATTCAAACTTCGAGTTCAACCTTCGAATTCAACCTTCGAGTTCAAACTTCAAATTGAACCTTTAAGTTCAAAATTCACGTTCAAACTTCAAGTTCAACTTTGAAGTTGAACCTTCAAGTACAACCTTTAAGTTGAACCTCCAAGTACAACCTCCAAGCTCAACCTTCAAGTTCAACCTTCATGTTTAACTGCGAGTTCAACCTTCAAGTTGAAACTCCAAGTACAACCTTCAAGTTCAACCTCCAAGTTCAACTTCGAGTTCAACTTCAAGTTCAAACTTCAAGTTCAACCTTCAAGTTCAACCATCAAGTTCAAACTTCAAGTTCAACCTTCAAGTTCAGCCTACAAGTTCAACCTTTAAGTTCAACCTTCGAGATCAAACTTCAAATTGAACCTTTGAGTTCAAAATTCACGTTCAAACTTCAAGTTCAACTTTCAAGATGAACCTTCAAGTACAACCTCCAGGTTGAACCTCCAAGTACAACCTCCAAGCTCAACCTTCAAGTTCATCCTTCATGTTTAACTGCGAGTTCAAACTTCAAGTTCAACCTTCGGGATCAAACTTCAAGTTCAAACTTCAAGTTGAAACTTCAAGTTCAACCTTCAAGTTCAATCTTCAAGTTCAAACTTCAAGTTCAAACTTCAAGTTGAAACTTCAAGTCAAATCTTCAAGTTCAACCTCCAAGTTGAACCTTCAAGTACAGCCTTCAAGTTCAACCTTCAAGTCCAATTTCAAGTTCAAACTTCAAGTTCAACCTACAAGTTCAACCTTCAAGTTCAAACTCCAATTTCAACCTCCAAGTTCATTTTTCAAGTTCAACCTGCGAGTTCAACCTTCAAGTTCAACCTCACGTTCAAACTTCAAGTTGAATCTTCAAGTACAACCTTCAAGTTCAACCTTCAAGTTGAACCTTCAAGTATAATTTCAGGTTCAAACTTCAAGTTCAACCTTCAAGTTCAACCTCCAAGTTCCAACTCCAAGTTTAACTTCCAATTTCAATTTTCAAGTTGAACCTTCAAGTACAACCTTCAAGTTCAACCTGCAAGTTCAACCTCCAAGTTCAACCTTCGGGTTCAACCTTCAAGTTCAACCTTCAAGTTTAAACCTCCAAGTTTGAACTCCAAGTTCAACCTCCATGTTGAACCTTCAAGTTGAACCATCAAGTCAAACCTTCAAGTTAAAAATCCAAGTTCAACCTTCAAGTTTAACTTTCAGTTCAAACTTCAAGTTCAACCTCAAAGATCACCCTTCAAGTTCAAACTTCGAGTTGAACCATCATGTTCAACCTTCAAGTTCAACATTCAAGTTCAAACTTCAAGTTCAAACTTCGAGTTGAAACTTCTAGTTCAACCTTCAAGTTCAACCTTTGAGTTCAAACTTTCAGTTCTACCTTCAAGTTCAAACTTCAAGTCAAATCTTCATGTCCAACCTCCAAGATGAACCTCCAAGTACAACCTTCAAGTTAAACCTCCGAGTTCAACTTGTTCAAGTTCAACTTCAAGTTCAAGCTTCAAGTTCAAACTCCGAGTTCAACCTTCAAGCTCAAACTTCAAGTTGAACCTTCAAGTTCAACCTCCAAGTTCAAACTTCAAGTTCATTCTTCAAGTTCAATTTTCAAGTCGAACCTTCAAGTACAACCTTCAAGTTCAACCTTCAAGTTCAACCTCCAAGTTCAACCTTCGAGTTCAAACTTGAAGTTCAACCTCCAAGTTCGACCTTCAAGTTCAAACTTCGAGTTCAACCTCCAAGTTCGAACTTCAAGTAGAACCTTCAAGTTGAACCTCCAAGCTCAAACCCCAAGTTCATCCTTCAAGTTCAACCTTCTAGTTTTTACTACAAATTGAATCTTCAAGTTCAAACTCCAAGTTCAACCTTCAATTTAAAACTTCGAGATCAACCTTCAAGTTCAACCTTCAAGTTCAAACTTCAAGTTCAACCTTCAAGTTCAACATTCTAATTCAACCTTCAAGTTCAACTTCAGTTTCAACATTCAAATTCAAACTTCGAGTTCAACCTTCAAGTTCAACCTTCGAGTTCAAACTTCAAATTGAACCTTTAAGTTCAAAATTCACGTTCAAACTTCAAGTTCAACTTTGAAGTTGAACCTTCAAGTACAACCTTTAAGTTGAACCTCCAAGTACAACCTCCAAGCTCAACCTTCAAGTTCAACCTTCATGTTTAACTGCGAGTTCAAACTTCAAGTTCAACCTTCGAGTTCAATCTTCAAGTTCAAACTCCAAGTTCTACCTTCGAGTTCAAACTTCAAGTCAAATCTTCAAGTTCAACCTTCAAGTTGAAACTCCAAGTACAACCTTCAAGTTCAACCTCCAAGTTCAACTTCGAGTTCAACTTCAAGTTCAAACTTCAAGTTCAACCTTCAAGTTCAACCATCAAGTTCAAACTTCAAGTTCAACCTTCAAGTTCAGCCTACAAGTTCAACCTTTAAGTTCAACCTTCGAGATCAAACTTCAAGTTGAAACTCCAAGTTGAACCTTTGAGTTCAACCTCACGTTCAAACTCCAAGTTGAAATTTCAAGTACAACCTTCAAGTACAACCTTCAAGTTCAACCACCAAGTTAATTTTCAAGTTCAAACTGCAAGTTCAACCTTCAAGTTCAAACTCCAAGTTCAACCTTCAAGCTCAAACTTCGGGTTGAACCTTCAAGTTCAACCTTCAAGTCAAACCCCCGAGTACAACCTTCAAGTTCAACCTCCAAGTTCAACCTCCAAGTTCGACCTTCAAGTTCAAACTTCGAGTTCAACCTCCAAGTTCGAACTTCAAGTAGAACCTTCAAGTTGAACCTTCAAGCTCAAACTCCAAGTTTAACCTTCAAGCTCAAACTCCAAGTTCATCCTTCAAGTTCAACCTTCAAGTTTTTACTACAAATTGAACCTTCAATTTCAAACTTCGAGATCAACCTTCAAGTTCAACCTTCACGTTCAAACTTCAAGTTCAACCTTCCAGTTCAACATTCTAATTCAACCTTCAAGTTTAACTTCAGTTTCAACATTCAAATTCAAACTTCGAGTTCAACCTTCAAGTTCAACCTTCGAGTTCAAACTTCAAATTGAACCTTCGAGTTCAAAATTCACGTTCAAACTTCAAGTTCAACTTTCAAGTTGAACCTTCAAGTACAACCTCCAGGTTGAACCTCCAAGTACAACCTCCAAGCTCAACCTTCAAGTTCATCCTTCATGTTTAACTGCGAGTTCAAACTTCAAGTTCAACCTTCGAGATCAAACTTCAAGTTCAAACTTCAAGTTGAAACTTCAAGTTCAACCTTCAAGTTCAACCTTCAAGTTCAAACTTCAAGTTCAAACTTCAAGTTCAAACTTCAAGTCAAATCTTCAAGTTCAACCTCCAAGTTGAACCTTCAAGAATAGCCTTCAAGTTCAACCTTCAAGTCCAATTTCAAGTTCAAACTTCAAGTTCAACCTACAAGTTCAACCTTCAAGTTCAAACTCCAATTTCAACCTTCAAGTTCATTTTTCAAGTTCAACCTGCGAGTTCAACCTTCAAGTTCAACCTCACGTTCAAACTTCAAGTTGAATCTTCAAGTACAAACTTCAAGTTCAACCTTCAGGTTTATTTTCAAGTTCAAACTTCAAGTTCAACCTTCAAGTTCAACCTTCAAGTTGAACCTTCAAGTATAATTTCAGGTTCAAACTTCAAGTTCAACCTTCAAGTTCAACCTCCAAGTTCCAACTCCAAGTTCAACTTCCAATTTCAATTTTCAAGTTGAACCTTCAAGTACAACCTTCAAGTTCAACCTGCAAGTTCAACCTCCAAGTTCAACCTTCGGGTTCAACCTTCAAGTTCAACCTTCAAGTTTAAACCTCCAAGTTTGAACTTCAAGTTCAACCTTCATGTTGAACCTTCAAGTTGAACCATCAAGTCAAACCTTCAAGTTAAAAATCCAAGTTCAACCTTCAAGTTTAACTTTTAGTTCAAACTTCAAGTTCAACCTCAAAGATCACCCTTCAAGTTCAAACTTCGAGTTGAACCATCATGTTCAACCTTCAAGTTCAACATTCAAGTTCAAACTTCAAGTTCAAACTTCGAGTTGAAACTTCTAGTTCAACCTTCAAGTTCAACCTTTGAGTTCAAACTTTCAGTTCTACCTTCAAGTTCAAACTTCAAGTCAAATCTTCATGTCCAACCTCCAAGATGAACCTACAAGTACAACCTTCAAGTTAAACCTCCAAGTTCAACTTCTTCAAGTTCAACTTCAAGTTCAAGCTTCAAGTTCAAACTCCGAGTTCAACCTTCAAGCTCAAACTTCAAGTTGAACCTTCAAGTTCAACCTCCAAGTTCAAACTTCAAGTTCATTCTTCAAGTTCAATTTTCAAGTTGAACCTTCAAGTACAACCTTCAAGTTCAACCTTCAAGTTCAACCTCCAAGTTCAACCTTCGAGTTCAAACTTGAAGTTCAACCTCCAAGTTCGACCTTCAAGTTCAAACTTCGAGTTCAACCTCCAAGTTCGAACTTCAAGTAGAACCTTCAAGTTGAACCTCCAAGCTCAAACCCCAAGTTCATCCTTCAAGTTCAACCTTCTAGTTTTCACTACAAATTGAACCTTCAAGTTCAAACTCCAAGTTCAACCTTCAATTTAAAACTTCGAGATCAACCTTCAAGTTCAACCTTCAAGTTCAAACTTCAAGTTCAACCTTCAAGTTCAACATTCTAATTCAACCTTCAAGTTCAACTTCAGTTTCAACATTCAAATTCAAACTTCGAGTTCAACCTTCAAGTTCAACCTTCGAGTTCAAACTTCAAATTGAACCTTTAAGTTCAAAATTCACGTTCAAACTTCAAGTTCAACTTTGAAGTTGAACCTTCAAGTACAACCTTTAAGTTGAACCTCCAAGTACAACCTCCAAGCTCAACCTTCAAGTTCAACCTTCATGTTTAACTGCGAGTTCAAACTTCAAGTTCAACCTTCGAGTTCAATCTTCAAGTTCAAACTCCAAGTTCTACCTTCGAGTTCAAACTTCAAGTCAAATCTTCAAGTTCAACCTTCAAGTTGAAACTCCAAGTACAACCTTCAAGTTCAACCTCCGAATTCAACTTCGAGTTCAACTTCAAGTTCAAACTTCAAGTTCAACCTTCAAGTTCAACCATCAAGTTCAAACTTCAAGTTCAACCTTCAAGTTCAGCCTACAAGTTCAACCTTTAAGTTCAACCTTCGAGTTCAAATTCCAAGTTGAAACCCCAAGTTGAACCTTTATGTTCAACCTCACGTTCAAACTCAAAGTTGAACCTTCAAGTACAACCTTCAAGTACATCCTCCAAGTTAATTTTCAAGTTCAAACTGCAAGTTCAACCTTCAAGTTCGACCTTCAAGTTGAACCTTCAAGTATTACTTCAGGTTCAAACTTCAAATTCAACCTTCAAGTTCAACCTCCAAGTTCAAACTTCAAGTTCAACCTTCAAGTTCAATTTTCAAGTTTAACCTTCAAGTACAACCTTCAAGTTCAACCTTCAAGTTTACCTCCAAGTTCAACCTTCAGAATTGAACTCCAAGTTCAACCTCCAAGTTCAACCTCCAAGTTCAACGTCAAGTTCATACTTCAAGTTCAACCTTCAAGATCATCCTTCCAGTTCAAACTTCGAGTTGAACCTTCAAGTTCAACCTTCAAGTTCAAACTTCAAGTTCGACCTTCAAGTTCAACCTTCAAGTTCGAACTCCAAGTTCAACCTTCAAGTTCAAACTTCGAGTTGAACCTTCAAGTTCAACCCCCACGTTCGAACTCCAATTTCAACCTTCAAGTTGAACCTTTAAGTACAACCTTCAAGTTCAACCTTCAAGTTTACCTTCAAGTTCAACTTACAAGTGGAACCTTCAAGTTGAACCTTCAAGTTGAACCCTCAAGTTCAACCTTCAAGTTCAACCTTCAAGTTCTACCTTGAAGTTCAACTTCAAGTTCAAACTTCAAGTTCAAACTCCAAGTTCAATCTTCAAGATCTTCTTTCAAGTTCAAACTACGAGTTGAACCTTCAAGTTCAACCTTCAAGTTCACACTCCAAGTTCAACCTTCAAGCTCAAACTTCGAGTTGAACCTTCAAGTTCATCCTCCAAGTCAAACCCCCAAGTACAACCTTCAAGTTCAACCTTCAAGTTCAAACCTCAAGTTCAACCTCCAAGTTCGACCTTCAAGTTCAAACTTCGAGTTCAACCTCCAAGTTCAACATTCTAATTCAACCTCCAAGTTTAAATTCAGTTTCAACATTCAAATTCAAACTTCGAGTTCAACCTTCAAGTTCAACCTTCGAGTTTGTAACGTTCATTTTCTACGTTAGGTATATATCCTCAATTAAACACATTGATAAGTAACCTACCTCCATCAACTACCTGGTCATTCACTGTGAAGAGACATCATTTGATTTCTTAGCAACTTAGTAATCAGTTGGCCGATTCAATATCCACTGGGAGCAACGAGACAATGCTTAGCATACCTTTCAGTCCATCTGACTTCTATTGTGATAAACATCTAATGAACGATCGCTACGTCCTGCACTGATTGAATTGTTGGTATAAAAGTGGAGCCGTGGGCACTGTATTATTGTTTACGTTGTTTGGAATTTTCGGGTTATATTACTCAAGTAAAGTTAGCTGGAAGCGGTCTCGGAGCTGTTCTTCCTTCAGGTGATCATCGGTTCTCATGCGTTCTCGCACGCCCTCGTGCTAACTGTCAGTCAGGGAACAGTACCTCTTGCACGAAGTGTAGAAATTGTGGGGTAGGGTAAGGTGCGGTATGACGCAGAAAGGTCGCGGATTAAGGTGTGTTCGTGGTTGTTCCCAACAGAATTCGACGTTAATACTCAGGCGACCAAAATATACTGGAGGTAAGGGTTTTGTTGACATATATAATTTCTTTATTTCTGGTCCCACCATTGATGGAAGTTCATCAAAGTGAAGGCACGTTACACGACCGTAATTGAAATATTTATTTGGGTCATTCAGTCGCATTTATCAAATGAGGTTGTACAATCTTTTTATGCATTCAGAAATGCTTCCAACAGTACTTTGCTGATACTGTGAAATTGATTCGTGCAGGCGTGGACATACCTTCATCTGCTGCGCCCTCTCTCCTTGCATTCTGTCCCTAGAGGGATCGTCCCAGGTAATTTTGAATCGATGACCAGTGGATGACTTTGAGTGGGTGATCTGTCTCTCGTTAGCTCTCTCTCTCTCTCTGAAAAATGGCTTGATTGCGTTTGACTGGCGTCTTCAGAATTATATTCGATTTTCATAATCATCTTTAATTAGGATTATGTTCTGAGGCCGCCATTTAGTGATTTGGGTAGTGATAATTTGTGTGATTCAACGTGTGTTGAAATTTTCGATCGATGACCCAAATCTTTCTCTTGTGAGGATATATTGTCGCCGCAACATTCCATAACCTCACTGGACATCGTGAAGTAATTGACGAGATGGAGAAGTCCTGATTGCAGGTGGGTTGATTAGTTATGTTTTTTTTTGTTATCATGAGAAAGGATTTCTAACACTTCAAGAATTTTGGGCTGTGTATGTTGTGGGGATAGTAATGGAATTTCGTTTGTATCAACAGCGCCTTAGGGACTGGCTAGATTTCCGATCATCCGTCAAGTAGGACTGTCTGAAACTCTAGAAGCTAGATTGGACACTGTCTAGAGGCTAGGTTGGTCACTTTGGAAAACCTGGAAAAACTCTGGTGCCTGATAGAAAGAAACCCCGATTTTAAGGGTAGGTTGATTTAATTTGATTATAGAAGTCACTATCTATTGTAGGCATCAACTGTTACAATATTGATTAAACCTTGTATCTGGAAAATTGTGCCCTACGAAGTGGTTCAGAGAATTAAATCATATAGGTAGCTGATTGAAGTAACTAAAATCACAACAGGCTGTCTAATTGATCTTTGAATATGAGTCCCAGATAAATTTCAGCTAAGTTAATTGATCAAACTAATTCATGAGACATTCTATCAGTCGATCTGTTCATCTCAAAGTTAGTTGGTTCCTCTGTTCGTGGTCTCCTCTGGGTGAATCGTTCCATCAAGACCCTGTTGGCTATGTATGTGTCAGACAACCATCGAAGTTGGGATGAAAGTCTCACTAAAATCGGGTGTGCCCTTCGAACATCGAAACATGAGGTAACCAAACTCACACCATTCTTCATCAACTTCGGTAGGGACATGAAACTCTCAGGGGGTGACTATGTGTCTAGTAGAGAAGTAGGCATCGAGGACGGTACATCGGAGTGTGTCAGTAGTAAGAATGAGTCTTTTAGGAGGATGTTTCAGGAAGTACGTGAACGCCTTGAGGTAGCGGGGAAAAAGGCGTGCGATAAATATAATCTTAGACGTCGTCACGTTGAGTACTTCCCGAATCAGTTGGTTTGGAAAAAGAACTACGTCCTCTCAGATGCAGCCAAGTATTTCAACCAGAAGTTGGCTCCTAAGTATGTCGGACCCTTTGTGATACACAAACGAATTTCACCTTGGACCTATGAACTGCGGGATGCGGCCGGGAATGTGAAAGGTACCTGGCACACGAAAGACCTCAAGCCTAGTCCGGATGATGAGTAGACCTCGTGAACAGGGGCTCTGCAGGAAGGGGCCTGAGAATACTCCTGCCGGGGTATGACCAGCCGGTGGGTAAAAGTCCCACAACTGGCCACACTCAAACCTTTTGGATCTGGTTGCCAATTAGTAGGCTATTACGGTGTTTGGTGTTGAATCATGTTCCCGCTGGGTCTAGCAGTTCATGGCTTCTGGACAGTGATATTGTTCCTCCCGTTTTCATCTCGTGTCTATCTGTTATGTAGGGTAGCCGTTGTTTCTTGGGTGGTGAGGTGATCGGCAGGCGACCTCAAAATTTTACTTGATTTTCGAAATCTGCCTTTATTGGGATTACATTTTGAGGCCGCCATTTACTGATTTGGGAAATGTTAGTTTCGTGACTTGACGTGTGTTGACATTTTTGTCCCAAATCTATCTCCTTGGAGGATCTGATGTCGTGACGCCACCGCCATCTTGCACCGACGGTCTACATATCGCTGTGTCGGAGCGGGGGTGGGATGTCTTGAAAAACACAGTTTCGAGATAATCGACATTTAAGTTTTACATTGGGGATATATTGAAATGATTGAATTTTGGGCATTTTTATTTCTGGATATGTTGTTGTTAATTCTGGGTACTCTCCCTATACTTCAGCAATATTTTCTCATACTCATAATCGAAACTGTTTCAAGATGTCGGGCCCTTATTCTGGCACGGTGATATCGTAGGTACAGTTTGTACTGCCAATAGAGAGTTAGGAGTCCCTCGGGTTGAACCGTAGTTGGTATTCGAGAAGTCTATGATCGTAGTCACCTACTCCGAGCCGTTCATGCACCGTTTGGGTGTTTAAATATATTTTTTTGTTTATTTGCGCGAGGGTTTTTGTTTGGTAGGGACCTATTCGTAGTGGGGGCGGGCAGGTCGCGTTCCCGGTTTCAGGGTTACGTGCTCGGGGCTGGAGAACGAATCCAGGAGCTGACCGGTCGACGGAATCGCGAGTTGCCTACGGGCGCCCGTCACTATGGCCCGTCTGTACTCCTGAATCCGGTCAAAGGTCCCTGGGCCGAGGGAGCGCGAGATTGTCCGCCGCACTGCGTTGTGGAACAATCCCGAATGTTTTGTTTGATCTCGCACCGGCATCAGCGCCGTTTCAGGGTGGTGGGCCCTCCTGTCCACTAGGGTTGAACTGGCAATCCTTGGGGTTACCCCTAAATCAAAATTTGATTTTACATTTTCGGCTTTCCATTGCGGGTGTCCAGTGCGGCACGGATGGCGGGCTCGGTCGGCCGTGCGCGTGTCGGCGCGTCTGAGGGTTGCTGATGTAATGTCGACCAGAGGGCTGGTCCACGACGCGTCTGACATCTTCGCGAGGGCCCCTCTGAGGCTCCCTTGGAACGCCGACACTCGGGCGATCGTCAGGATCATCCATCTGTGGGGCGACTGGGACCCAAGATGTCTTAGGACATATCTTGTACCAAGAAGGGTACAAGTTTGAGTGGGGGATAACGGGGGTGATAGCAGTTCTGAGTTCCCGGTTTGCACATGTGCGCTTTGGGTGTAGAATTCCGTGTATTCGTTATTTGGGCCTTTCGTAGTTACTCGGATTGGCAATTTTTTGTTGTTGTTTATTTGCGCGAGGGTTTTTGTTTGGTAGGGACCTATTCGTAGTGGGGGCGGGCAGGTCGCGTTCCCGGTTTCAGAGTTACGTGCTCGGGGCTGGAGAACGAATCCAGGAGCTGACCGGTCGACGGAATCGCGAGTTGCCTACGGGCGCCCGTCACTATGGCCCGTCAGTACTCCTGAATTCGTTCAAAGGTCCCTGGGCCGAGGGAGCGCGGGATTGTCCGCCGCACTGCGTTGTGGAACAATCCCGAATGTTTTGTTGGATCTCGCTCCGGCATCAGCGCCGTTTCAGGGTGGTGGGCCCTCCTGTCCACTAGGGTTGTACTGGCAGTCCTTGGGCTTGCCCTAAATCAAAATTTATTTTACATGTTTCGGCTTCCATGGCGGGTGACCAGTGCGGCATGGATGGCGGGCTCGGTCGGCCGTGCGCGTTTCGGCGGGTCTGAGGGTTGCTGATGTAACGTCGACCAGAGGGCTGGTCCACGACGCGTCTGACATCTTCGCGAGGGCCCCTCTGAGGCTCCCTTGGAACGCCGTCACTCGGGCGACCGTCAGGGTCATCCATCTGTGGGGCGACTGGGGCCCAAGATGTCTCAATACATATCTTGTACCCAGGGAGTACCTGGTACAAGTTTCAAGGGGTATAGATAGTAGGAATTTTAGTTTGTTTTGAGTCTAGGGAAAAATTTGCGGGCAAATTTCTTGAAGTAGGAGGGGGATTTGTAACGTTTATTTTCTACGTTA